TCGATATAGCGATAAGTGTAAAGGAATAGTCGAAATTAATTCCACGTATATGATGATGTTGTTGACCTTGTTGTTGTTGTTGTTGACCTTGTTGTTGTTGTTGTTGTTGACCTTGTTGTTGTTGTTGTTGACCTTGTTGTTGTTGACCTTGTTGTTGTTGTTGACCTTGTTGTTGTTGTTGACCTTGTTGTTGTTGTTGACCTTGTTGTTGTTGTTGACCTTGTTGTTGTTGACCTTGTTGTTGTTGTTGACCTTGTTGTTGTTGTTGACCTTGTTGTTGTTGTTGACCTTGTTGTTGTTGTTGACCTTGTTGTTATTGTTGACCTTGTTGTTGTTGTTGTTGTTGACCTTGTTGTTGTTGTTGTTGTTGTTGACCTTGTTGTTGTTGACCTTGTTGTTGTTGTTGATTATTATTATGATACTCATTTGAGGTACTCGTTCGTCATCTTGAGCCTGGCTGCTTGCTCCGAAGTGTTCGGCTTTGTTGTTATGACGCCACAGGTTAGTTTTGTGTGGGCAAATCGGGAGGAGTTGAATTTTTAGGTTTTCCTCAACTATCGGCTAAAGTCAGTCGAGCATCTCCCATGGCGAGCGCTATCGTATCAGGCGTGCAACACGTTCATAGATGATGTATTCACGCTGGTGATAAGGTAAGTCTTTCTAGTAGAGCGCGGGTTCGATCCTTGGTTGGATATTTTCAGCTGTATGGAATCAACTTTCCTTACTAATTTTGCGTTGTTGAACTATGTAGCCTTATGGGAAATCGTGTGGTTGTATTGCGTGATGAGTGCACGTCTACTACTAGCAAACGTATGAGGAAATTCAGAATCGAAGTGATGCCGATCTGAAGTGACCTTACGTTGGAGCTTCGACGAGCTTTTACTCATGAGGAATTGGAAGAACACAATCTTTATATCACATTGGCATACATAGTGTGGGAGAATATGCACATGGTCAACTACATGTGTTGATGAAAATATGAGAATTTTGGTGGATTCTTGGTGGTTTCTGTGCATTTTCCTATTCGAATTCGTGTGTGACCTTCTATGGTTAGAGTTATAATGAGCGATCAAGGTGGTTGTTCCATGAGCACTAAGTTTAAGAAGATCCTAACTGAGACCAACATCGTACATGTCCCTCGCACAACAGCTTAACTAAAAGCGGCTCGCATCCGCACACTCCTGAGCTGAAAAAAGCGAACATATATTCTAATACTACACAGTGTTGGATAACCGCAATTTTCAGGATGCCGGAAATACACAAGTTCTCGGTATTTCGTGACGACATAGTGTTCATAATATGCTGCTATCAACGATGGATCTACAGTGGACGGTGAGACTGGTTGTTATCGATATTTTGTCGCTCGCCACGAAATTATTCTCAGGAGGAATCAGGAGGAAGATGCCCCCTCTCGGGAGAAGAGCGAATAAATTCCCGAATACGGTTTTTCATTATTTTCGTGGAAGCAATTTTGTTGAGTTGTCATATTGCTGAGTTGGTTTTCACGAAAGTAGTTTTGTGAGGTTGTCCGATGCACCCGCCTCCGGGACAGTTAAATGAATATAATCGTGCTCCTCACCAGGTGACGGAATTACGGTATCGATAAAATATAAAATATTATTCAGGTCGGCGAACGAGCGTATGGCCATGGTTTACTCACAGGGTATGGGCGCCAACCGCTAGATACGTTCCAGGTGGGTATCGGATTAGAAGTAGTTGTGATTTTGTGACGATCGACTTTAGTGTTGGAATATGTGTGGTTTTCTGACAGAAGTTTGTAAGTTTTTACCAACCACATTATGGAAATTCACACACGATTTTGGATAAAAGTGTGCAAAAAACCAACCATAAATTCCGAAATTTTTCTCAGAATTTCCAATTTTTATCAACACATGTAGTTGACCATGTGCATATATTTTCCATCACACTGGTCGAGCTGGTTGGACTGTGGTTGAGGTTAAACTATTTTTTAGGGGATCCCCGTCGCTGCCATGGGGAACAATCAAATACCCCCGGTGGGGATAGAACCGGGGACTTCTCCGTTCGCGGCAGACTGCGTAACCTTTTGCCTAGAGTGGAAGCTTATAATGATTATGATCACAGAAGCTGTCCATTGGCACGATAGGAATGGTACGCTCCATCCATCTGCGTGAGGGAATCATCTGTTAGATGCAACATGGTCTTCATCGAAACCACCAAATCGCACGAGA